ATCCCCTTCCTTSCCGTTACGTTGCGCGATGCCCGCCGGGCAACACGGGGTTTCCTGTGCCTGGTGTCAAATGAACAAATCCTCGGGATCCTTTCCTGGCTTTCCACGGCTCCCCAGCTGCGAGGGGGTTCCAAAGCCTAGTAGTTTTGGTGGCTGCTTCCAAATGCCGACGCTTCCCTGGGCTCCCACAAAAACTGTTTTTCCAAGGGGGCCACMGTGGCACCTGGTAGATGGTGGAGCGGGAAACCCGGCTCCTCTGTCCCCTGCCACCACTGCTGGACCAAGAAACCCTTGCAAAAGATTTCCAACCGAGGCCAGCACATCCAGACCTAAAAGAAATTATTTGGTAAAACATTTCCTGGGTTCTGGAACGGGAAACGGAGAAAGCATAGGAAAGAAGCAGGAAAGAGCACATCAACGCTGCTAACTCGGTGTTACTTAAAAGGAGCAGCGAGATATCAGGGATGTTCCATCTGAGCTCGAACTTCTCATCCGCACACTCCTCAGAAACGGGCATTTCTGCTGTTATGGCAAGTGCCCTTAGGGAGGCCTGAGAACCTCCGTCCCGCGGCTCCTCACTGCGTTTGAGAGAGGATGTCCGCGCTGTCACCTCCTGCTGCTGGCGGCTGAAGGGAGCTGATCCTCCTCCGCAAGCATCAAACTGCACTTTGGTCTCCCAGGCTCCCATTGACGAATTCTGGGGAGGTCAGAACTGCTTTTTTGAGCTTTTCACACATTCACAGACAAAAAGCTGCTTGGAACCGTTGGGATGAGCCTTCTTCATCCCAAATCTTGTCGTTTACATTGAAGGTGCTTTAAGAATATTAGCAGGACTTTAAAAGGGATAGCGAAAGCCAACCTGGATCTGCACCTTCCTTGCTYGCTCCCTGCTGCTTTCTCTCGTGTCACTGCTTAGCCTGTCTCGAGCACCTCCTCTGAAGCGAAGGCTTGAGTCGGGCGTGCAGAAAACAAGTAGACCTACCAATTTATAATTTAAGTCTTTTATTCCATCACAAAGCAGCAAAAGAGAAGGCTTCGCTCTCGTAGGTCACCTCTAATAGGAACCATTTCAGCAAGATGAATTTCAGAATTAGGTCTTCCCCAAGCAGAACCCACACTGTATTTTTCAGCGGCACAAAGCCGCCGTAAGAACAATCTGACCTTCATCCTTAATAGCAAATTCACTGGGGGAAAAATGCATTTTTTGTTTTTCTGCTTGAAGTACTGTCAAAAGAAAAGTCGCAGCACAATGCACATACAGGGTAAAAATGTACAATAATTTATACAAAATTGTATAAAACTCTTGGAGAATTTACTTTTTTTTTTTTGGTCCTCAGACACTAGAATAACCGCTGCGAGCTTATCTGCAAACACGTTATCCTGGAGTGGAGGGCAGCGATTTAATTTAAAGCAAAGTCTATTATAGACTAACTCCATGTGAATAACAGTGTCTCAAAGTTTTTCTCCAGTCTGTGGTTCTATGAGATAATCCACTGAAAAAGTTTTTGGGAAAAAAAAAAAAAAAAAACCACTTTATCGATAAATACCCGTATTTAGGCACTGCTTTGCCCTAGTCGTGTATTTCAGGGTCTAAACCAATGTCTATCACAGCCTGCCGAGGCAAAATGTCACACACTATTATTCGCTTCTACAGCACTCCCCAAAGATGCGCTACGCTGTCGTGACAGAGGAGAAAAAAGCACCACGATGAAGAACATAACCAAGGGAAATCATTTGAAAATACTTTTCTACGGAATGTTTTGATATTGATAATGATATTTTCTATATGAAAGTATCTTTTCTATCATCARTAAGTGGATGGACACACTCGTGCTGTTGAGTCTCTAGCAGCAGCTTCCAGCCGGCGCGGGGAACGGCGCGGATCAGCGGCCCGTTGTTCAAGGTGATTTTTGTGCACGTCCCGGTTGCACGTCCAAGGCTGGGCAACGCGTTAGGAGCCCGTGCGGTGCCCGGCCTGGCGCAGGCGGCCGAGCCGCGAGGCCGCAGCGGGAACGTTCATTCCGACCAGCAGCTCCGGCCCCCAGGTGAGGAGGCGTCAGGGAAATTCTTCAGGCTCTGCTTGTCACCCACATAAAGGACTTGGCTTCGCAGCCAGAGTCTTCCCAGCCCCTCTTCCCGCAGAGCTATCCCAGCTGCACTTTGCAGGAGCCCTGAGAACGACCCTCCTTCCTGCTCTTCCTCTTCCTCCTCCGGCCTTTCCCGCCTCGCGAGGGGCTCATTCCGCCACGGAAGCAGCTGGGGAAGGGGCACGGAGGTCCCCCCACATCTAATTAACTAGCCATAGTTAACTCCGTCTCAAGGTCTAGTTAAACCAGTTCAATATCACACGGAGAGAGGCCGGGGGCAGCCGCGTCAGACGGGTTCAGGATTTGCCTGAAGCCCAGCAGCGGTGGGAAGAGCACAGACCCCTCTGACGTGCAGGATACCACAGTCCCCGCTTGTTACCGTTCACATTCTCTCCAAACCAATCCTCTATCTTTTTGTTTAAAATAAGGAATTTTTGTTTTCTCTCTCTAAAACCGGCACCTAGCTGAGGGCTGAGGCCCTTCGCAAACGCTTCGTATTTGGGCGGCGCCGCCTCGTTCTTGCAGGAACCGCTGCCCGAGCGGCTGCAATTTCACCGCTCGCTGTTCCTCAGCAAGCGCCCGCTTCTGACCGGCRCGAGGAGGCAAGTTCAAGCCAAAGCGTCGGCAATCGCCGGCCTCCCATCAGCAGTCTTGCAGCAAAGCCTGTCCTAACGCTGCTGGGAAGGGGGCTGAGGTTTCACTAGCAGGATTTCGTGACCACCCAAGAGAACAGGGCGCTCGGGGAGGCAGGAGGCCCCTCCAAAAGGCCCTTCRAGAAGGGAACCTACCCCGTTGCGGCACCTGCCCCCTGCAATAGCCGTTCCCTGCCTCAAAAGAGGTTTCCTGATGATGCAAAGCGTCCCCCAAGACGCGGACACGAGCTCAGGMGATGCCACGTGCAGGTACGAGCTGCTGCCGGGACAAGTGGCGGCGCTCCCCAAAGCCCACGCTGCCCCTCAGCAGCCAACAGGGCCATCGAGAGCATCACGGAGACGACGGTTTTGGGCTCTTCTCCTCAGGAAGCAGCACTGGTAGCAGAAACCTCCATTACCTGCGCTCCTCAGCRTGAGCTCGCGTTGCCAGCCCGCTCGGCCCAACCAAGCCGAAGGCCGCGGCGCTCCGGGTGCCAGCGCTTCCCGCTCAGCTCCAAGATGGGCCAAATCCTCCAAGTTGCCTTTGCCAACACCAAGAGCGGGGAGCAAAGGCACAAGACCCTGGGATCCTACATGTCCTAAGAGCAAAAACCATCAACCTTCCTCTGATAACTCAAGGAAGCAAAAATAAAAAACCCTTCCGAACAGAAAATTTATTTGCAACCAGTTGTCATCGCTCCAGAGGGCATCCAGTTGGGGAAAAAATGCCTGGTCTGCCCTAAGGCAGCTGCTTTTCCATAGGGAGACCTTCTGAATGGTGCAACTCTGCTGCTTGAAACGGAAAGCAAAGATCAGACCTGGGAACACCCACGCCAAAGAAAACCCCGAGCCYTGATGATATCAAGCGAGCCGTTTAACTAAGTATTTAAAACCTCTGCAATTATTAGTTTATTAGTATCATCCAGGATTCAGATGTTCAATATTTCTCCTGAAGTTATACATAAATGCAAATTGAAATAAGAATCTGAAAGTCAAAATTGTATAACAAAACAATACTCCATCACAAAAGCGTGTAAAATTACAAGAATGCTTTTTTTCTTTTTTTTTTTTTCTTTTTTTTAAACACTGGCACTTAAGAGAACCATAATTTTGTAACCAAAAAAGTTGCCAAATTGTCCCCCAAACTMGTAAGCAGGTATATGTGAAAATAGTTACAGTTGCCAGCACTTGAAGTTTTACTAAATATGCAAAAAAACCCTTAGCTTTGGTTTTGGAAGAGAACTATATTTGACCAAATTAGACATTGTTGGTATACCATAAACATTTTACTTCTTAATGCAAAAATTTAATAAAATGTACTTTTCCATACAGCTATATTTAACTTAAAAATGGGCAAACATCAAGAGTGCGGTATAAAACCTAACAGGAAAAATACATCTTATCTCATTTTCAATTTGAGACAATATACAACTTTGCTTAAAGGGCTAAAACTAGAATTTCAAGAATACAAATATGAATTTACATAGATTTAACAAATAATAATGGTACCATTTATAGAAATCTTAGAAAGAAAAAAAAAATCATTTCTCATGGGCCATTTGCTACCAGGAGAGTTTCATGGTATAAAGCCCGTGGCCAGCGCCAGACCTGTCACCAAAAAATGTGGCAATCTGGGTTTGCACTGCACACATTTTTGGGGCGCTCGCCTGTCACGAGTGGTCAGAGATTTACAAATACGTTTGCCTCTACGTGGTGACAGAGTCACGCGCGGAAGCTGCTCCGCAGCGGGAGGGCGGCCGCTCTTCCCGGGGCTCCTTCCCGCGCAACTYGGCTGCGTCTCCTCCCCGCTGCTCCCCACGAGGGTCTCGCTGCTGCAAGGCTGAACTCTATACTTCTCAACTCTCCCGGACTGGTAAACTCATGCAACTCAAGAGAATATTACGCTTCACAAAAATCTGAACAAGTATCCCTTTTGCTGAGATTGACTTCTTGCTTTGTTTCCAGTTACGGAAGGCTGTTCTTTCACCGTATGCCTACATATATATGTTTCTTTTCTTACCCTATCATGATTATGCAGGGTATGCAGATCAAAGCTTGGTTTGTCAGCTGGTTATATGAAAGATGAAAACTGTAATATTCGCGTGATCCCAAATGGGCATTCGACAAAGCAAAGGATGAGTTCCCCTCAAAAAAAAAAAAAAAAAAAAAGAAGAAAAAAAAATATGATTTCTCAAGGGC